GTATGCTTTTGTTTTCAATCTTCATGAGTTTTTATGTTTTAGGACCCAGAAATGACATATATCTTAAAACACTACATAGAGTCATAGATGATATTTTAGCTGAAGATAGTTGACATTGTGTTAATTCATTTAAAAATAGTTTTACTTTTTTGATTTTCTACTTACTCTTTTGTGCTTCACTGCCCCCACCCCTGTTAGTTATTTCTATTAGTTTTTCAAATTACTCAATGTACATTGAACTGAAAGTTTTTTATCAATATTTTTTAATTAAAACACATTTCATTAAAAATCATTTAATACTGACAAAAGTTTCAAAAATAGTATAAAGGATTCCCATATTCCTTCTCTTCACCCAGCTTCTCTAAATAGCAACATCTCACATAACCACAGTACAATGCTCAAAACAGGAAATTAACATTCATACAATTTATTATTTATGAATCTACAGATCTTATCCAAACTCCACCAACTGCCTCATTAAAGTCTTTCCTAGTTCAGAATTCAATGCAGGATCACACATTGCATTTAACTGTCTGTCTTCAACTGAAATAGTACCTCAGCCCTTGTCTTCCACCATTTGACACTAGGGAAGCACATCACTTGAGTGCTTTGTAGGCTGTCCCTCAGTTGTGCTTTTTTATTGTTTGCTTGTGATTAAATTCTAGTTATGAGCATCTTTTCTCTGGCATTGCTTCTCATGCTGCCTGTTGGGAAACTGGAGGTGTTCCAGTATCAATGTAATTCTTTCTTCAGATCTGCTTATTTGGTCCCATACCTCCTAACTCACACCCAAGAGAAGACTCAGATCCAGGCAGCCCACTGAACCTCAAGTCCTGGGCCATGATGGTCAGCAGGCTTAAGAGAAGACACCTTTAAAAGCTCCTGTGTATAGCTGAAAGTAAAAACTCTTGGGAATCAGACTGGAGAACATATAATTTGAGAGTATGTCCAACAATACTTAGAAGGAACAGTGATTTATTAATTCCCTTTAAAGTCTAACATTTTAATGATGTGCTTACTTTTGGACATTAAAACTATATTTAAACTGCTATTTTATTTTATTATTATTTTTGTAATTGTCAAGTTTTAGTTTTTCCCCATTTTTTAAATTAAGGTACTAGAGGTCCGGTGTATGAAATTCGTGCACGGGGCAGGGGGGAGGGACAGCCTGCACCATCTCCAATCTGGGACCCCTCGAGGGATGTCAGACTGCCCACCAGGATCGGGACTAAACTGACAGCTGGACAGCCCTCTCACAATCCAGGACTGTTGTCTCCCAACTGCTCGCCTGCCTGCCTTCCTGATTGCCCCTAACCACTTCTGCCTGCCAGTCTGATCACCCCCTAACCACTCCCATGCCACCAGGATTGATGTCTAACTGCTCCCCTGCCAGCCAGTTTTCCCCCAACTTCCCTCTTCTGCAGGCCTGGTCACACCTAACTGCCCTCCCCTGCAGGGTTGATTGTCTCCAACTGCCCTTCCTTGCAGGCCTGGTCCCTCTCAACTGCCCTCCCTTGCAGGCCTGGTGCCTCCCAACTGCCCTCCCCTGTTGGCCATCCTGTGGCGGCCATCTTGTATCCACATGGAGGCAGGATCTTTGACCAGATGGGGGCAGCCATTGTGTGTTAGAGTGATAGTCAATCTGCATATGACTCTTTTATTAGATAGGATAGAGGCTTGGTGCATGGGTGGGGGCTAGCTGGTTTGCCCTGAAGGGTATCCCTGATCAGGGTGGGGGTTCCCTTGGGGCGTGGGATGGCCTGAGTGAGGGGCTTGTAGTAGTTTGCGGGCCAATCACACCCCCTGATGACCCAAGTGGAGGTCCTGGTTTCTGGAATTTATTTACAATTCAATTGTAAATTGAAACTGTGTATCCTGGAGCTGAGCCAAGCCTCCAGGGCTGCCGCCATTTCTGTTTGGATTTTTTTACCTTCTATAATTGAAACTTTGTAGCCTTGAGTGGAGGCTTAGGCTGGCTAGGGCAGGTGGAAAGCTTGGCTTCTTCCATTGCCTGGGAAACCCAAGCCACCTCTTGTTCTCTGTGGCCATAGCCATGTTGGTTGGGTTAATTGCATACTTGCTCTGATTGGCTGGTGGGCGTGACTGCTGGGTGTAATGTGGTTGTTAATTTGCATATCACTCTTTTATTAGGTAGGATTATATGTGTACATATCTTATCATTGCACCCCACACACCCAACACCCATACATGCCCTCATCCCCCAGGGTTTTGCATCCATTGGTTATGCTTATATGCATGTATACAAGTCCTTCGGTTGATCTCTTATCTCCCTCACCTCTCCCTAACCTTCCTGCTATACTTAATGCTTTACTGCCTCTGTATCTATCATTTTGTTCATCAGTTTATAATGTTCTTTATATCCACACGAGTGAGATCATGTGATATTTTTCTGACTTATTTCACTTAGCATAATGCTTTCCAGTTCCATCCAGGTTGCTGCAAATGGTAAGAACTCCTTTTTTATGGCAGCATAGTATTCCATTGTGTAGATGTACCATGGTTTTCTGATCCAGTCATCTGCTGATGGGCATTTAGGCTGTTTCCAAATCTTAGCTATGGTGAATTGTGCTGCTATGAAGACAGGGGTGTATATATCCTTTTTGATTGGTGTTTCTAGTTTCTTGGGATATATTCCTAGAAGTGGGATTACTGGGTCAAATGGGAGTTCTATTTTTAGCTTTTTGAGGAAACTCCATACTGTTCTCCACAGTGGCTGCACCAGTCTGCATTCCCACCAGCAGTGCACGAGGGTCCCCTTTTCTCTGCATGCTCGCCAAAACTTGTCGTTTGTTGATTTGTTGATGATAGCCATTCTACAGGTGTTAGATGGTACCACATTGTCATTTTGATTTGCATCTCTCAGATAGTGACTTTGAGCATGTTTTCATGTGTCTCTTGGCTTTCCATCTGTCTTCTTTTGAAAAGATTCTATTTAGGTCCATCGCCCATTTTTTAATTGGATCATTTATCTTCCTTTTATTAAGTTGTATAAGTTGCCTGTAGATGTTGGAGATTAATCCCTTATCAGTGATAACAGTGCAAGTATGTTCTCCCACACAGTGGGCTTTCTTCTTGCTCTGTTGATGGTTTCTTTTGCTGTGAAAAAGCTATTTATTTTGGTGTAATCACATTTGTTTATTTTCTCTTTAGTTTCCATTGCCCTAGGGGCAGTATCAGTGAAAAAGTTCTTTCGGCTTATGTCTAAGATTTTGTTGCCTGTGGATTCCTCTAGTAATTTTATGGTTTCCCATCTTATGTTTAAGTTCTGTATCCATTTTGAGTTTATTTTTGTGTATGGTATAAGTTGGTGGTCTAGTTTTTTTGCATGTATCTGTCCGATTTTCCCAAAACCATTTATTGAAGAGACTGTCTTGACTCCATTGTATGTTCATGCCTCCTTTGTCAAATATTATTATAATTGAGCATAGTGGTTTGGGTCAATATCTGGGTTCTCTATTTTATTCCATTGGTGTATATGTCTGTTCTTGTGCCAGTACCAGAATGTTTTGAGAACAGTGGCCTTGTAATACAGCTTGAAATCTGATATTGAGATGCCACCTACTTTGTTCTTCTCTCTCAGAATTGCTGTGGCTATTTAAGGTCTTTTTTTTTTTTTAATTCCAGATGAATTTTTGGAGAGTTCTTTCTAGGTCTGTGAAATATGCCATTTGTATTTTAATGGGGAATGCATTGAAGCTATAGATTGCTTTGGGTAGTATGTACATTTTAATAATGTTGATTCTAACAATCCATGAACATGGTATGTTCTTCCATCTGTTTATGTCTTCCTCTATCTCTTTTTTCAGTGTCCTGTAGTTTCTTGTGTATAAGTCTTTTACCTCCTTAGTTAAGTTTATTCCTAGGTATCTTAATTTTGTTGGTGTGATGGTAAATGGGATTGCTTTTTTAGTCTCTCTTTCTGTAAGTTCACTATTGGTGTATAAAAATGCCACAGATTTCTTGGTGTTAATTTTGTATCCAGCTACATTGCCAAATTCATTTATTAAGTCTAATAGTTTTTGATGGAGTCTTTCAGGTTTTTTATGTACAATATCATGTCATCTCAAATAAGGACAGCTTTACTTCTTCTTTTTCAATTTGGATGCCTTCTATTTCTTCTTCTTGTCTAATTGCAATGGCTAATATTTCCAGTAATATGTTGAACAGGAGTGGTGAGAGTGGGCATCCCTGTCTTGTTCCTGTTCTTAGGGGAAATGGTTTTAGTTTTTGCCAATTGAATATGTTAGCTGTGGGTTTATCATATATGGTTTTTATTATGTTGAGGTATGATCCTTCTATTCCCACCTTGATGAATTTTTATCAAGAAACGGTGTTGGATTTTGTCAAATGCTTTTTCTGCATCAATTGATATGACTATGTGATTTTATCTCTCAATTTGTTTATGTGATATATCACACTTATTGATTTGTGGATATTGTACCATCCTTGCATCACCGGGATAAATCCTACTTGGTCATGTTGTATGATGTACTGCTGGATCTGACTTGTTAGAATTTTGTTAAGAATTTTGGCATCTATTATATGTTTGTAGGGAGCAGTTATAGGATTAAGCCTTGGACTTATTTACTGGCAAAGCCGCAAACAAGTTCCAGTTTATAGGGCATAGTCCTCTAAGCATAATTAAGCTTGATCTTGTGACTGCTGCCTAGATTTTTCCTGGGTAGCTAATGGGCTGTGGGAGGTGGAAGTGCTGCCAAAACAAGTGAAATTTACAAGAACATTGTAAATTACCTCTGACTATAAAATAAACCATCAGCTTGCACTCTGGATCTGTTCTGTGGCCTCATGGGTCCACCTAGACCCAGCTTATTCTCTTTGTCTTTTCTTCATCCTTCACCAGCCCTCCCTCAGATTCACCAAACCTGTCTGTGCTGGCACAGCACAAGTGGCGCCCAACTCAGGGCTGAGTTTGGCCCCAGTGGCACTCAATGTGGACCTGAGTGTGAGGGAACTGCAAATTGTCGGGTGAAAGGATGCTCCAGTGAAGCACATGCAGAAAGCAAAATGAAAAGTAAGGAGTGCAGTTCAGTACTAGCTAGGTGTAAAATATGGAAAATCCAGGATCACAGGGAAAGAATATATGCGTATCCATGCTTAAGGCTATGCTCCAAGCAAGGAGCTGTTCTGTGAGAGATGAGCAGCTTTTCAAGTTTTTGGATTTTGTGAGTAAAACCTGCCTATGGTTTTCTGAGGAAGAAAAGGTAAATATAGAGGCATGGGAGAAGCTAGAAAAACAACTTTGTGATCATTATATAGCTAAAAGTCCAGAGAAAATGCCTGCCTCTACTTTCAGTCTGTGGTCCTTAATTCTGGACTACCTAGAGCCCACTCCAGAAGGGGAGTGGAAGAATGTGGCAAGGGAATCAAGACAGATGGGGGAAGGTTGCCAAAGGTTTCAGACTCCACTATCAGCACCTCCATCACTCCTCCAGTTCCTGTGGGAGAGAGCCCTCTGGATGATGCGCTTCCTCACAAATATGAACAAGGATTGGAGGAAGCAAGGGAACAGCACCAGTGGGTTTGGGATCATGGGGTCTGATACAAACATTTGGAGAGCTTACTGTTGCTCATAAGCCTCTCCTTTTACCCCCTAAACAAACAGAAAAAAGAAAAGTGCCTATGTGGTATTGCCAAAGTAATTAAAATGGCTAATATAGAGCACACCAATTCAGAGTAACTCTTTCATTTATTTTTCAACCTTCAAAGTGTCATTAGAAAACAATTTCCCTGCTTTATTGGTCATATCCTGTCTCATTCAAGTCTCCCTGGTCAATTAGCTATAGGCAATGATGCTGTTGATGGCCTCCTTGGTGTAATGCAAGAGGCTAGCCCGCTTTCTCTTGCCCAGTCCTCCCATGCTTTGCATCATCAAAATGCTGCTGCCTTACACAAACAATTCCGTATTTCTAGGGAGCAAGCTCATGAAATTGTTAAGTAGTGCTCTCAGTGTGTAATTCATTGCCCTGTGCAATCGTTGGGGGTTAATACTAGGAGTCTTAAACCTAATCAAATTTGGCAAATGGATGTCACTCACATAACGGAATTTGGTAAGCATAAATGGGTACATGTTAATATAGACACCTGTTCCTGCTTTATCTTTGCGACCCCCCAAACGGGAGAGAGTGCCAAGCATGTAATTAATCATTGCCTAGCTGCCTTTGTGGTACTAGGTCCTACCTTAGAGCAAAAGACAGACAATGGACTCTCATACGCTAGTTCTGCTTTTCAGCATTTTTGTCAGCAAAATCAAATTTGTCATAAAACTGTTGTCTCTTACAACTCTTAAGGTTAAGCAATAGTGGAAAGAGCAAATCATACTCTTAAAATGCAATTACTAAAACAGAAAGGGGGAGACAGATGTTATGTATCACCTCAAATCAAACTCAGCATTGTTCTTTATAATTTAAATTTTTTGAATTGTGATGCAGAGGTACAGCAGCCAAAAGGCATCAGACCTCCTGTACAATAGCTTCCACTGGGTTAGCCTGATGGAAGGATGCGCAAACTGGACAATGGTTTGGACCAGATCCAGTAATGATGTAGAGAAGAGGTTGTGTTTGTATCTTTCTAGAAGGAGCAGTGCAGCCAATTTGGGTGCTAGAGTGTTACTTATGTCACCACAGTGGACCCAGAGAAGCTCCTTGTCCCTTCGTTCAAAAGACTGAGAGTTGCCCTGATGACAGCAAAGCGGAAAAGGAAGATGACGAAGGCTATGAAGAGACAGAGGTGCCAACATGGGGTCAGCTGAAAAAGCTAACAACTGAGGCCCAGCAGATGGCAGAAAAGCAAGAAGTGGAAGCTCTGGGACTAGGCTTGGGACATGTCTGTCTATTTTGCTGCCATTTTTTCGGTCCCCTAAACTGTTATTTTTAAAAATACAGTAAAACTTTAAGAGAAAAACCTTATTTAATTAATAGGAGCTAATGTGCAAGTCAGGGATGATTCTTTGTAGCACTCTTACCTGAATTTAGTTTGAGGCAGAGAGCACATTTGGCTATGTTGAGTATCTGACTAAATCTTTAAAATAATGCTGACAACTAATTCATACAGAGAAAAAGACCTATAGAACAAAGACAATGATTTTCCAAGAGCCTCAGGAATCAAGCTTGGGACTTCTAACCTCTGATTTGCAGTCTACCTACTTGAACACACCCACTTTTAACAAGTAAACAGCCTGATACAGAATACTGTTTTTGTGAGTCACATCTAGGTCCATGGTATATTCTCCTTTTGGATGACCTTCCTGAGGAAGCCAGCGCTGCAGCCGCAGGATCAAGGCAGCTGCCGCAGCTGTGAGTGCAAGATTGAGGCAGCCACCATGACTGCAGAGGCCTACTCTTGCATGAATTTTGTGCATCGGGCCTATAGTTCTATATAATGATAGGCTAATATGTAAATCGACCAATCAGCAGAACGGCAGGTCACTATGATGCACACTGACCACCAAGGGGCAGATGCTCAATGCAGGAGCTTCCCCTGGTGGTCATTGTGCTCCTACAGGGGGAGTGCTGCTCAGCCAGAAGCTGGACTCATGGCTGGCAAGTACAGTGGCAGGAACCTCTCACACCTCTGTGGCAGTGCTAAGGATGTCTGACTGACAGCTTAGGCACCAACAGTGCACAATGGTTCCCCTTTCTTCCCATCCTCACCAATATATGTGCTTTGTTGACTTATTGATTATATTCATTCTGACAGGTGTGAGGTATTATCTCATTGTGGTTTTAATATGCATTTCTCTAATTAGTAATATTAAGCATCTTTTCATATGTCTATTGGCCATCTTTGAAGAAATGCCTATTCAGGCCCTCTGCCTACTTAAAAAAATATATTTTATTGATTTCAAAGAGGAAGGGAGAGGGAGAGAGAAGCATCAATAATGAGAGAATAATTTATTAGCTGCCTCCTGCATGCCTCCTACTGGGGATCGAGCCTGCAATACTCCCATGTGCCCTGCACTGGAATTGAACCCAGGACCTTTCAGTCCACAGGCCTGAGCCAAAACAGCTGGGCCTTCTGCCTTCCAACTGGTCTCCAGCCACCGTTGCCACTGATTGATCAGCTCCAGCTCCCTCAGCTCCCTAGCCTGCTGTTCAGTCTTCTGTCTGGTTGTTTAGGTCATGATGGTACCTGGCTTTTTATATATCAAAAAGGTAAAAACAGCCGATAACGGTTTGGCTCAGTGGATAGAGCGTCAGCCTGCAGACCGAAAGGTCCCGGGTTCGATTCCGGTCAAGGGCATGTACCTTGGTTGCAGGCGCATCCCCAGTAGGGGGTGTGCAAGAGGCAGCTGATCAATGATTCTCTCTCATCGATGTTTCTAACTATCCCTCTCTCGTCCTCTCTGTAAAAACTCAATAAAATATATATATAAAAAATGGTAAAAACAGGCTTTCCAGTGATACATGCAATGAAACTAAGTGTAAAATGTGGGTGAAGAGAAAATGAGATGGCATCAGTACACAAAAAACATGATGATTCCACTACATAAAAAAATGTAACCCGCATTTAAAGCAACTAAAATAATTAACCCTTTGCAATCCGCTGTCCCCTCTCAGGGGACATCGGAATTCTAGCATATCATTCGGATGACCCCTCTCAGGGGACATTGCAGTTTATTAGTGATTACGGGGAATTGAGTTAATTCAACGCACGTTTCCGCCGTTAGCGTCGAGTAGCTGGTAGCCAATGTCCAGAATGGTTCAGAGTGCAAAGGGTTAAAATAGTTGTTTTAATTGAAGTATGTGTGTCAAGTATCAGTATATCTGAGTATATCAGAGCAGTTTATAAATCCATATGAAACTTTTATGATACTACTGCTAGGTAATACTTAATGACAAAAATGTATGCCAGCTTCAATCTATAATAAAGCATAATTTTAAGCATATATTAAATACAATAAAGTTAACTTATTTTAGAAACACAACCTTTGTTTAAAAGCTGCTGATTTATAACTTTTGGAAAACACATTATAATATCCTTATGAAACTCATAATAAAAACATCCCACACCACATAATCCAAATAAGATCACAAAGGCTATCTTTTTCCAAGTCTAGAATTGAAATGTAGTCTTTGTTCTCCATTCCTTTTAAAAAGCCTGCAGCAAGGCTGACACACAGGAGGATGCTGCAAGGAGGGGCTGCAGCAACTGTGCTGTTTGTGATGCTGGCGTCATTTCCAGAGCACGCCACTCTCATGAACACTTATACAGAAAGTCATAGTAAAACCAAACTGCTCCTAGTACTTTTTCAGCACTGGTGGCGAGGCCCACTTTGCCAACAGACAATAGCAAGGTTGACCACATGCATGTGGATGTATTAAACCCCAATGTTACCAGGGTGTGAAAGCAAACACCTTTACCGAACTCCAATTTTTTTTTCATGGCTACCTCTATGTAAATTTGCTCCAAATCTCTCAGAATTCTGCTTACATTGTATTCAGCCATTTCCTCTTAACCATTAAATTCTTCTGTAGCTCAAACACTCTTTAAAATTCCCCTTTCTTCCAAGAACTGGCTTTGACTTGTTGGAACAGTAATCCTTGAACTAACTTATTTGGGTATGGGGGTTTTATGTGCCTATCCTCCATTCTCTAAGCCACAAAAGCACTTACTTGTTCCTATTTTTCTTACCTTTTATTACCTTCTCATGTTCGAGTGTTTCCCTGAGCTGCAGTCACTGGTGGAGGGCCAGTGGGAAGAGCTGGTAGTGGGGAAGTTAAAGAGCATGAAACCGGACAACTCTGAGTGTTAGAGAAGCCACAGACTGCTCGCTAAGCCTTGATCACCTTGTCTGTGACATAAAATACTGCCCATGTAGTGTCCTCACAAGTCTGCTGGAAGTGCTGTGAGATGATTTAGCACAGTGCCTAGCATATGGTGAGCCCTAACCAAGGAGATAATTCGCAGGTCACCTGACAAAAGCTTCTTGATGATGCTCAGATAAACATAATGTAAATTGGAATTTAAATATTTATTCTGAGTGTTAACATTAGAGCTATAAAAAGTTATATAGCTAATGAAAATGTTGACTAAAGATGTTTAGGAAAAAACGTCAACTAAAATACATATTTCATTGAAGACATTCTTTATTGGACAAATGCTCTATACTAGATATTTAAGATAACATAAATATTCAGGATCATAATCATATTAGCTACAATGGTTAACATGCTTAAGACAGACAATTTTCTGTGTACTTTTTCCCCCCAAATAATATTTAATTTAAATATTTTCCTTTGCAGTTCTTAACTAGCCCAACATTCCACTGCATCACTGTTGATGTCATGAGGGTGGCAGCCATCAACATGGCAGTCCACAGACAGGGCAGTCCCTAGGATCTTTTTAATGGTTCCAGAGAGTTCTCTAGCTAAAGATTGGTGCTAGATTTGTCAGGCAATGCTGACAATCTCATCAAAAGTGTTATTTCTACTGTGGTCAATGTTTTTCTGCTTCTTTCTGTCTCTTGGTGGTTCTTTGAGAGCTTTGATGATCAGGGTAGAGACAGAAGGTACTACCTCCATCTGGGCATGTCTGTTCTGGTCAGTTTCACTGTAATTCTTAGACCCTTCCAATCACCGGTTGCTTTGGTGATATCATCGCCAACCTTTTTTCGGATACAGGCTCGGGGGGTCGATCTTGGGGGCCAGAGCAGATATGTGGCACCCACTTCCTCACCAGTGTACCTTAGGTATATAAGTTTGATTTGAACTTCGGTGGAATGGTGGAGGTGGCTGGTGTCGGATGAACCCGGATTCGGGATAACCAAATGAAATTGCAATTGAGCCTCCTCTGTGCCAAAAGCCTAAAGCTGTGTATTTCTTAATAAGCTTGGCAATTCAAACAAGGGTATTTTGATTTAAATAAAACATATACAAAAATCTTTCTAGGCTACTAATTGAGGAGGAAAAAAAAGGAGAAAAACTGCAAATGTATGCTTTATATACAAATACCTTTAGGGCACTTAAAGAGAATAATTTCATCACTTGTTATCTTTGGATGACCCTTACTAGGAGGCCTTTATGTTTTCATCAAGGCTGAAGAAGCAGATTGGAAACAGGTGAGTTGCAGGTGCATGCTGCTCTTGAACTTGTTCAGCAGCTCTTCCAGTAACCTGCAGGAGCAGAGACTATTTACAGCTGGCAGAAGGAAGCTTGTCCAGCAATATAAGAAAACACTCAGGGGACCCAACTGCATGATTCATTGATGGATTCTACTCAATAACGAAATCAGTCAATCAAAGGAATAAAATGGGAAATACATAATTATATTTATATATAAAAATCTCTCCAGTGCCCTTCCCTAAGATTAGAGTCCTCCCTAAAACAGATTTTTTACACCTGTGCATTTTCTTCATTCACTTTTCAAAAATTAAAATGTAGTCTTGTTGGCACACAGTTCTATGAATGCTGCTAAACACTTAGCAAAATAACAACTCCCAAAACCGGATGCAGAATAGGTCCATCCTTCTCCAAGTTCTCTCATGCTCCCCCTGTTAGCCTCCTTTCCTTTTACCCCCACCCTGGGGCAACAATTTGTCTTGTCTCTGCTGCTCTTATTTTGTATTTTGTCTTTAACAAATATTGGCAAGTGGTGAACTAAAGCCAGAGGAATCAGGTTTACTTCTAAGTCCACTGGGCAAATTGACAACTCAATTTGTTTCCTTAATTGGTCTGATTTGTCCATTTAATTTTAAGTCCAGAGGTATATTAGATTCATCTGGTTCAGATGAGGAAACCAAGAAGTGGGCTTACTGCTATTGGGATTGAGAGATTATTTCAGGGGTTGACAATGCTCAGTATTAGGACACTGTCCCAATAGACCTAGAACACAGTTTACCCAAGACAGTGGCTGATCTTCTTGACTTCCCCAAAAATGCACTAGCCTTTTGAGCCATATTCTATATGTTAAAAATCATGGTAACTGTTTTAATCTTTTATCTTATTTATTTTAAATAAATGAACATAATTTGTAATAAATTTATATACAGCTTGAGAATTAGTATGAGAAGAAGGAAGTAAAAAAATGGTAGAAAGGGTTGTAGGTGTGAACACTGCACAGCCATCCACTTGTCCATTCAGGAATATACACAGGAACATACAAGCAAAGGATCTGGTCTAATGCCCACTATCCCCAGTCCAGTCCAAGTGTCCCCATGACATTCCTACCGTCAGCCAACCCCATGCACTTTTAGATGCCAGTGTTAGATGACAGAGCCTGAGTGTTTCATGTAGTTGACTGCCACCATAAATATTTGTTAAGGGCTGATCAGCCAAATGCAAAGGTGGGTGGACTTCAGTTACCTTGGAGCACCAAAAAGCTACAATATTTCCACTGCTTCAGCTGATGGTAGACTGGGCATTTATGAAATGGACCTGGCCTAGATTTTGTCTCAGGTCAGAATTTCCTGTTACATGAGTAGCAAAGTTTAGATTCAGACTGAGACAATCAATATATTGTTAGTGAAACATATATAACTTCATTATATCATATTTACAAATCTATTCTTTCTTAATACTTTATAAATGCAGAGTATAAATCACTGGGCCCAGCATTTTATTACACTGTCCTCTCTTTTAATTTCTAGGTAGTATCATCTTCAAAATTTAAGAGAGATATAATTGACTGAGTTGAAATAAACTTTCTTATGACGTTTTCTATACTAGTCACTTAAACCAAGAAAATAACTAATTTCTAAATTGCCATAAAGCCAAAATAAGGGTTTTTCCATATTCTGCTATTGGGAGACAAGCAGGCACAGCTAGCATGATGCATACTACCAAGGGCTACTCAATACTGCTCTTCCTTAAATTCAATTCATTGTTCATAGAAAGAGTACTTCCAGGTAGCGGCACTGTGCTCAGCACGTCTACCAGGAAAGCACAGAGCACTTACTTTTTGTCTGCTCCACTGGAAAGCTGGGGTAGCGCTTCCAGAGCCTGCTTAAAACTGGACCTGGAACACAAGCAACACAGAGCTGAAACACTGCAGTTTCTCATGGGGATTACAGCATCATTAAGAATTCTTAAGCATATCTTAAACATAAAGAAACTAGTATGAACAGTGAAGCATGTAGATATGTGAGAAAAAGTACAAGTGAAAAACATCAGAAAAAGAAAAAGAAAAGGTCTAGTTTCAGAGGCTTTGCAGGAGCAGGGTCAAAAACTCATTTAGGAAATGAAACAGAACTTGAAAAACTAAAGGAAAAATGGAACTTTATAAAAGGACTAGAGGCCCAGTACACAGCATTCATGCACGGAATGTGTGTCCCTCAGCCCTGCCTGCACCCTCTCCAATCTGGGACCCCTTGAGGGATGTCCAACTGTCCCTAAACAGGCAGTCGGACATCCTTCTCACAATCCAGGACTGCTGGCTCCCAACTGCTCACCTGCCTGCCTTCCTGATTGCCCCTAACCACTTCTGCCTGGCAGCCTGATCACCCTCTAACCACTCCCATGCCAGCCTGCTTGCCCTCAACTTCCTGCCATGAGCCTGGCCACCCCTAACTGCCCTATCCCCTGCAGGGTTGATCATCTCTAAATGCCCTCCTTTGCAAACCTGGTCCCTCTCAACTGCCCTCCCCTGCTGGCCATTTTGTGCTGGCCATCTTATGTCCACAGGGGGGCAGGATCTTTGACCACATAGGGGCAGCTATATTGATCTTGTGTGTTGGAGTGATGGTCAATCTGCATATTACTCTTTTACTAGACAGGATAGAGGCCTGGTACATGGGTGGGGCCAGCTGGTTTGCCCTGAAGAGTGTCCCAGATCAGGGTAGGGGTTCTCTTGGGGCATGGGGCAGCCTGAGGGAGAGGTCTGTGATAGTTTGCACGCCAGCCATGTCCCCTGGCGACCCAATGGAAAGCTTGGCTTCCTCTGTTTCTGGGGAAACTCAAGCCTCCCTTCTAGTAGCCATCTTGGTTGAGTTTATTTGCATACTCACTCTGATAGGCTGGTGGCCGTGGCTGGTGGGCATGGCTTGTGGGTATAGCAGAGTGATGGTTAATTTGAATATTACTTTTATTAGGTAGGATGCTATTCAATTTGGTTGGTGAACGTGAAATGAGGACGTTTACTTTACAAAAAGAAGTCTTGATTTCAAAACAAAACTGAACTCAAGATAAAAAAATTGGTCAGAAAGGAAAGAAAATAAAGTAGAAATATGATCTTGTGAAAGATTACACAAATAGGGACATTTAAAGAATTGATATGTCTAGGTCTGATTTACAGCCAACATCTTATAATGACTGAACACAGTTTTTTCCCCAAAATAGAATTTAGCTATTATTATGTTTAAAATTTTTAAGATAATGGAGAGATGTATATATATTTTTAAAAGCCAACATTATTTCATTTAATATAAAAGAAAACAATCAGTTTTATTTATTTGTTAATCCTCACCCAAGGATATTGTTTTCCATTGATTTTTAGAGAGAGTGGGAGGAAGGAGAGAGGGAGATGGAAGGAGGAAGGGAGGGAGGGAGGGAGGAAGGGAGAAAGAGAGAAAAGGAGGGAGGGAGGAAGGATGAGAGGAAGAGAGATCCATGTGAGAGAGATTCATGGATTCTTTGCCTCCTGCATGAACCCTGACTGGAGCTGGGGTTCGAAACTGCAACCCTTGATTTAATTCGAACCCACGACCCTTGGTTGTGTGGGCCAATGCTCTACCATTCACTAAGAAAAAGGTGACTAAATAAATATAATTATTCATGCCTTTAAAGTGGTCTCTGATTTTGTATTATAAAAACATCCTCCTCAATATACCAGGAAAGAAATTTTGAGCAGAATTTCCTAAACTAGGGGCAGGTATCCTAGCAACATATAGCGATTGTAGAGTCCCAACACAGTCATAAAAACTGAAACCTGATCCCTTCAGTTGTTCCTGGTGGGGCAGGGTGTGGGTGCAGGGACAGCCTAGCTGTGGGCACACTCAGCAACCTCACAATATGAAACCAGCTCTCCTCTCTCCTGATATCGAGGGAGTCTCTGCACACCTCCACAATCATCCTGTTTCCTGTAAGTCTCTTTTCCATTAATCAAAAAATGTGATGCTACTATTCTTTATTTTTATATTATGACAATGATGATGATGAAGATACAACCTATTATTTGTAGTGCACTGAAAGTTTAGAAGGTGACTTGACATATTGTCTCATTTAATTTCTCCAAAACTTTGCCTATAAAGTATCATTATCTTCCTTTTATAATGAGGAACCTGGGCTATGAAAGGTTGAGTTACATAGGTACTTACACAAGGTATGCATACACATCAAATATGGAAGGAATGCCTTCTATCAACTGTTATTTAGTACTTGGTGTTAAAAAACAACAACATCAATGACTGGAAAAAGGTGTAGGTAAATAACTAACATGGGAGCCATGTAGAAATGGCCCTTAGTCGGCCATGATAAACAGGAAAAATAAGCTAACTGTGTCAGGAAAATAATTTCAGTGGTCTTTCTGCTGTAACAATGGCAGTAAGAATGATGGCATAAGCCATTTTATCAAAAGCTGGACACGAAGAAATCTGTGTGCATTGCACAAAGACCCTAAACATTTGTCTACCACTTGGCTTCTCATGCACATTAACAGCATTGCCCAGCATTTCCTGGGTCATGTTGCCAGTGGAGTAAACAATTTCGTAAAAGCAAGTAGTCAGTGCTGTTTCAGTTCACCTACTGATATTTCAATGATAGGAAATCCTGACTTTCATTCAAAACAGCTAAAAATTATCATCAAATTTCCACTACAGAACTTTACAGAGAAACCACAGGCTTCCTCTTGTGCTGAGGATCACAATGTTTGAACTGTCCTGAAAGGCCTGCTATGAATAGACTCAATTCTTATTTTCTCCTTTCTAAAGAAGAATGTAATGCTCTGTTCCATCATTCATGAGACTAAAATTTATCTTATAGAATGAGAAATGTAAAATTATATTACATCTTTTCCCCTTTATATTATGCTACAAAGAACCAGTCTTAGGAATCTGTGGCTTAGTATAGATGTACACTTTTTAACTAGAAATGTGAACAATCAAATATAAACATTTCACATACAACATCATGCGCATTCACTCTGACCAGTTATCTTTTCAAAGGACTTTATATAGCAGTAACACAACTTTGTTTTTAGCAAATGCTCAGGAAGAACTGTAAGCGTCTCACCTGCTTTCAGGTGTCAGGTGGACAGCCACAGTGTCCCTCAGAGCACAGATTTCAAGCCTTGCCTGAAGAAAAAGAAAGGACAAAGTGACAGTCAGGACTTGTGACGATTATCACATATGAGTAGGTGGTGAGGGCCACGTCTCCAGCCTGTTCACCACAGACACAGTGCTCACAGAATATTGCAGGCACATGGTTACCCCCACCCGTGACTGTTAGTTAAGAGCATACTTTCGGAAACAGTCCAAAAAAGTTGGCTATGACAAAATTTCCTTTAACTTAAAATTAACTTACAGTCAAGTATGACTGAGTGAAGGCAGGGAGTGAGATATTTTGCTGTAAAAGGTGCGAACTACACAAGGCTTTCCCAGCAATCTGTGTTTACTATCTAAACAGTAATTTTCCTATTAGCCTGCCTGTGAGAGGAAGGAGAGTCTGAAATACTGTCCCTGGCCTGTGCCCTCCTGAAAAGATTTGAGGACGTGGGCTGGCTTACTTCCTTAAACATATGCATTTCCAGGCACACTGCCTTTAACCTCAAAAGCTAAACTAAAACTCTACAGATTCAATGCAATGCCTATCAAAATCACAGGTGGCTTTTTTTAAAAACAAAAATTGACAAGTCGATTCCAAACATACAAAACAATCTTGAAAAAGAATACAGTTGGAGAAATTTACACCTCCTGATGTCAAAACTTAATACAAAGCTACAATAATCAAGGCCTTGTGAAAATGGTATATGGACAGACATGTAGGTAAACAGAATAGGACTGAGTGTCCAGAAATGAACATTTATGATCCAATGATTTTTGACAAGGGTGCTGAGACCATTCAATGGGCAAAGAATAGTCTCTTCAACAAGTGATGTTGGGGCAACTGTACAGTCTCATGTGGAAGACTGAAATTAGAGCCCTTCCTTAACACAAAAATGAACTCAATAGACCTAAATGTAAGCAACAAAATTATAAAATGCTTAGAATAAAACAGTAATCAATCTCTATGACATTAGGTTGGGCAAGCTTTCTTAGAAACGATATCTAAGTACAAGCAATAAAGGAAAAATATATAAATTGGACCTCATCAAAATTAAAAAAGTCCCGCATTCAAAAGGAAACCATCAAGAAAGTAAAAAGAATGATAATATTTTTCACGAGGACAGCTGTCATCTGAAAGATAACAGTGACATGTACTGGGGAGGATGTAAAAGAACTGGAATCTCATACATTGCTGGCAGGAAAGTAAAATGATACAGTCACTCTGAAAATAGCCCATAGGTCATTTAAAGATAAAACAGAGTAACCACACGACATAGCAATTCCACTCCTCGGTATATAGCCAAGATATATGAAAACATATGTCCACAAAAAACTTGTAAATGAATGTTCACAGAGGCATTCTTCATATTGGCCCAAAGTGGAAACAATCCAAATATTCATTAGATGATGAATGGGTAAATAAAATGTGGTATGTTTATACAATGGAATATTATGCAACCATAAATCAAATGCTGAGGTGATCCATGCTGCAGCATGATGAACCTTACAAACATTATGCTGAGGGAGATCAGTCACAAAAAAAGCTGTACTTATATGATTCTGTTTATATGAAACTTTCAGAATATGCAAACCATAGAGATAGAAAACAGACTTGTACTTGTCTCATGCTGTAGGTGGGGGAAAGGAGAGTGACTGTTAATGGGCCTGGGGTTCCTTTCTGGGGTGATGTCATGTTCCAAAATTGATTGTGGTGATTACACAATTCTGTGAACATAGTTAAAAAAAATCACTGATCTACAGACTCTTTATCCTCTAGACATACTGAATGGTATATGAATTAAATTTGCACAAACTTTTATGGCAAAAAAGCTAACCTACTGCTTACACTTGTCTGCAAGCTTGAAGAAGTGTGGCTTCACTTACAGGCCAGTTTTCCTCAGAGTTCTACAAGTGCCTCTGATGAGAAAGCCCACAACCTCCATCTCTGACTCAGGCACCCAGAGTATGGCTGATGCTAAGGAGACCACTGGGAAGAAACAGCCCTATTCTCCAGGAGTGTGTAAAATGTAAAAAAATCATAAATGACATGGCTAGCTATTCAAATTAGACTTAATTACAAAATCTGTAACCAATCTAGATAAAAGCTGATTTACCTAAGATACAGTATATTCAGCAAAACTTTTCTGTTTAGAAAGCAATTGTTTGGTTTCATTTTTCAGTGCTTTAAAAGCCTGAAAAATAGTTTATAACTAGAAAGTTTATGTATGATAATTTACTTCTACTGTTTATACTGTAGTTTATATACAAAACATACCTATAAAGAAAATATCAAAGACAAAAATAAGGTAGAACTTTTAGTTGAATATTTTAGAAGGATTAAGTAAGCCACTGTAAAATTAATCTTCATGTACAAATTTTATTCAAACAAGGTGTTTTAATTAACCTATGAGTTGTGCCAAATTTAAGTTGTGATTGATGATAAAATATACAAAAAACAAATGCATGCAAAAAAACTTCATGCTAAAAGATAGCTAAAATCCTCAGGCCATCTCTCCACTCATCTCAACTGGCTCTCTGGAAGGTTTGAAGACTGATGTACTGGTCTTTCATTAAATGATCATTAAAGATCATTAACCTATAGTCTTTCTTAGGAATCTGCTTAAGAGAAGGGGGTCAAAAATAGCCATTTCAATAAGAAAGGGTGAAGGGGGGTAGCTAAGTTCCAAGGAAGTATCAACATGTTAGGAGCCAGACAGTCATGGTGGCTGGTCATCTCCTAGACATATGACTAGTGAGTCCTTACTCAATCGACAGGTTCTTAGAAAATGCAACTTTAAAAGAAACAATATTCAACAAACAAAACCAATTTTACCACAGGCTAATCACTAGCAACAAGAGTTAAGTTCCTATGACATATTTATGGTCACAAAAACATTATCAAACTTCTAAATAAAGTCCCCAAACACTGCTAATATTAAACACTGAAATAACTGGTGTTTTCTTAAATATAAGGTATACATATATTTAAGAAAGATTAATAAAAATGAATAAAATATTATTTTCCAACCCATTTATTCCATTTCAGGAGCCTGGGTGGCAGAAGCCAAACCTGGCAGCCTAAGGCACAGGCAGGCCCCACCCTGAATAGGATGTCCTTCATCGAGGGGCACATCATGCACCCCACACTCACAGACTGGGGCAGTGTAGACAAGTGCACAGCTCTGGGGTGTGAGGGGAAACTGGAGTTCCCAGGTAAATCCCTCGCAGCAGTGGGGAGAATGTGCACATCCCAAACAGATAGTAGCCCCAGTCAGGAATCAATTTTTTTCTTATCAACGTTATAATAAAACTAGTGCCCTGGTGCATGGATTTGTGCACATTGAAGGAAAATTAATTTGAAGAAATATTTTAATATCTCTATTTGCCCTTTCTCTACAATAGAAGTGTCAACCAAATTCACGATCGACAATGACAGATCAAAAACACGTGTGCAGTCGGCACCAGTGAGAGTTTTATATGTATCGTGTATGTGAGAGTCAAGTTAGCCTTTTATATCCTATATAATCTTATATAATAAAGAGCTAATATGCAAATGGTCATCACATCCTCACACCCTCACATCCTAGGGCCAGGGGACCTGAGGCTGCACCCCCCACCCTGTGGGGCTCATGCAATTTTGAGGTACACAAGGGTAGGCGGAGACTTGACTCTAGATCCCTTGGCGTGACCCAGACTCTGACAGGAGGGAGATTTTCATATACATTTTACTAATTATTTTTCATCTCTGGAACTTCTATTATAGAGAAAGGGCAAATAGCAATATTAAAATATTCCCTCTAATTCCCTTTTAATATGCATGAATTTCGTGCACTGGGGCCACTAGTATATAGATAAATTGCTTAATTAGACCTTCTTTCTGATTTAGCTAAACTTTCTCCAGTCTAGTGAAGCACCCCAACTTCTCTTTCAGATTATTGTCAGCAACACAGTAGTATTATAAATATCAGCATGAAGCAGACTATTATTGTATTGATAGATCAGGCAGGGAGAAAAAAAGGGTAAAATATTTAACTGTAGCAGTGTTTGACTATAGTATGCACAGTGAGAAAACCTGAAGTCATTTTCAAGTTCCACCATTTCTTACTTCTTTTCAGTCAGGTCAAGTTTTTAAACTTTATAAATTTCTGTTGTCTAGCTAATGAAAAGAAAATAGGATTGTACCAAGTCTCCTAGCTACTTACTCCAGATCTTTTGAGAGGATCAAATGAGATGAGACAAGTGAATACACTTCACACACATTTGGTTGATCTGTAAAATGTTTGCACCTGGCTATAAAACAACCTGAGTTCCTGGGCTGAAAAAACTGAAAGGAGGCTAGTTGCTAGGGAGAAGTCAGGTGTTGCTATGTAACATCATTACCTGGTGCCCACAGCTACCGTTTCCAGGCTGGGCTGGGTGCTGCATTTTATGTCATTGGGTCTTGGCAGCATTGACTGAGATTTGGTGGGGTGTCACTCCAGGATGGTGGCGGGGTCTGTGTCCCACTTAGGGGAAGCTGAGTGTTGGTTTTTTGGCACCAGGTCCATAGTGCCATTTATTTTTAAATGGCCAGTGCACATCATGGAAGCTCCTGCATTGAGCATCTGCCCCTCGTGGTCAGTGTGCGTCTTAGCTACTGGTCAGAGGGAAGACAGACACTTAGCTGTATATATATACACTAGAGGCCCGTTGCATGAAAAGGTTTGTGCAATAGGCCTTCCTTCCCTTAGTTTCCAGCACTGGTTTTCCTATGGCACCTGGGAGCCAGGCCTTCACTCTGGCCAGAGTCTGCTGCTTTTGTTGCAGGCATTGGCCAGAGTCTGCCACCTTTGTCTTTACTGCAGACTCAGGCTGAAGTCTGCCATCTTCGCTACAGACTGCTGTCTTCCTCTTCCCTGCAGACTCCGGCCAAAGTCTGCCTTCTTTATATTCGCTGTGGCCAGAGTGCTGCTCCTGTAGATCCCTTCACCCCTTGCCCTCCCTCTCATAGCAGGCATCCTGCCCTGCCTGGCCACTCAGTGCCCGGATCAGCTGGTGGCAGCCATCTTCCTCCTTCTAATTTGCATATTCATTCCTGATTGGCCGGTGGTCGTAGCGAAGTGATGGTTATTTGCATGTTTCTCTTTTATTAGTGTCGATAGATGACTTTGAACAAACCAATGTAATTCGAGGATCTGTTGTACATGGAAAAAGTTGCTGATTCTAATATCTCTTCCTAATTTCTTCCTGCTAGCTTTGACAGGAATTTTATCATTAGGTAAATAGGTTGCAAAAGTAATTTGACCGGAGGGGAGATTTTTGTTATAATTTCCAAACTGCCTAGGTCAGGTCAAACTGTAGTTACTACAACTTCCTTTTAATTAATGTTCAGTATCTCAACATTTATGCTACTGTTCTCCTGAAACAGTACTAGTATTATAATTGTGACCTTTTAACTGTATATTAAAAGACTGTTAAATTTTTAGAGAAAATGGGGCGGCAACTGAAAATACAGCAGGAATTCCCTCCTAATCAGCATGCCAAGTTAACAAATGCTCTCCATTCCTTTTACCTACCAATATTTTTGTACAAAAATTTCAAATGTATAGACTTTGCAAGGATTTTACAGTGAACACTTATAGATCCATAGACTAAACTAGGGGTGTCGAACTCAATCAGAGAAGGGGCCAAAATCTAAAATCCAGCCTAAATCACGGGCCGAATGGTTTACTGAACAGTCATAAACTGTCATTGTGATGGAAACGCAGCGGAGTGCAGTGATGACAGCGTGGTGCGGGCCACATTGCAAGGCCTGGCGGGACGGATTTGGCCCGCGGGCCTTGTGTTTGACACATGTGGACTAAACCATTAACACTTACTAGCTCTACCATTTATCCATGCAATTATTAACCCACCACAGTGCTTTGACATAATTCATTGTGCATGATTAACTAAGTAGACGGATTCAATTCTTTTTTAATTTTTTGAGTTAAAACTTACTTACATACTACACAATGGACAAATCTTACAGTGTACCATTGATGGGTTTTGACTGATGCATATACCTGAGCAATCGAAACCCATATCAAGGTATAGAACCACCTATGAAGCTCCTTTAGGCCCCTTCCCACTTAATCTCAACTACCCAGAGGAAAACATTTTCCTAAGATTTTTTTCTACCACAGATGAGAAACCCATATAATCATATGTGTGATTTGGTGTAAGGCTTCCTTCACTCAGCTGAATGCTCCTGGGATTCATACAGGTGGTACCAGTAGTTTATCTTCTTAATGCTGAATAATAGTTTGGTTATATAATCATACCATAGTGTTTTTTTGTTGTCGTTTATTCTGTTGATGGACAGCTGAGCTGTTTCCAGCTTTTGACTATTATGAAGGTATATTCTTATATGCTTTTTTTATGAAGGTATGTTTTTAGTTCTCTTGGTTAAATACCTAAGATTAGAATAACTGGGTCATAGAGAATGTACCTTTAGTTTTCAAAGAAAATGCAAGATTTTTTCTCAAAGTAGTTGTAAGATTTACACTCACATCAATGTGTGAGAGCTCCAATTGATATGCTGATCACCCTTTCATGTGCTCATTGGCCATTCTGACTCTTTTGGAAATTGAATTATGTGTATGCTCGAACTTTGGACATTGCCGAAGGGGTTCCTAGAGCTCTGTTAAATTTCTCCTAAGTATTCTTTTTTTTTTTTTTTTTTTAATATATTTTATTGATTTTTTACAGAGAGAAAGAGAGAGGGATAGAGAGCTAGAAACATCGATGAGAGAGAGTCATCCATCAGCTGCCTCTTGCACACCCCTTACTGGGAATGTGCCCACAACCTAGGTACATGCCCTTGACCAGAATCGAACCCGTGACCCTTCAGTCCACAGGCTGACGCTCTATCCATTGAGTCAAACCGGTTTCGGCTCCTTTCTGTTTTTTCATATGGATAATATCTGTTAATCTACAAATTCACTTTTTTTGTCCTTTCTATTTTGCAGTTATTCTGAACTAGTAGATTGCAAAAATAAATAAATAAATAAATAAAATCACATTTATGTATTTCATTTTAGAATTTCCATTTAGTTTCTTTTTTTAAGATTTCTCTTTTTTGCTGAGCTTTCCTATCTTTTCATTCATTTGAGCACTGTCTCCTTTATATCACTGAACATAACTGCTTTAAAATCTTTGTCTTTGAATTCCAACAACTGGATCATTGTTAGTTTATTGTCTTTTCTATTGAAAATGGGTCATGCTTTACTGTTTTGTTCTATCTGTATGTTTCAATGAAATTTGGATTGTATCCTAGAAATTGTGCATGTTGTTGTAGAGACTTTGAATTCTGCAATATGCCTCTGAAGAGTGTTGATCTGTTTTGCTTGTTTTAGTAAGCAATTTACTTATTTGGAGGGAAACTGAAAACTCTTGGCTCTTGGGCAGCATTTTAACTCTTACTTTAGTCCTTTTGGCCTTAATTGGGCTGGCTGTAGTGGAGTCCAGTCATGCATACATAGTTTAGGGGTCAACTAGAGACTTAAGCAATGTAAACACAATTTGTAGCTCTTGCTTTCTGCTTTCTGGGTTACATTCCTTGCTTGCCTGTAATTATGGTTTCCCTATTCTTTAAGCCTAAATGACACCCAAGTGTCATTTCTCCTAGACACACTCACTAATGGTCATTTCTTCACTGTCTTCATGTTTTTGTTTTTCTTTTGAAATTTAAAATTTTTTATATATATTACTGAAGATTATAGTTGTTATCTGTAGGGGGTTGGCCTGGTAAGAGCTTCTTTAGCTATTACTGGAAGAAAATTGCTAAGACTTATTAAAAACACACAATGTTCCAGGTCAATCAAAGCTCCCATGTAGGACATCATTCTCCCATAAGCCTTCACACCTTGGCTCCTACCAATTTGGTTATATGCATCCCAAGAATCATCTGGTTTATGTAAGTTATATCTGTTATTGTAATTGTGTAACTTAAATAATTACAACATAAACCAATGAAATATAAGTGCAAAGAGGCAGTTATTTGTCATTTCTATGCAAATTACATTTAATAGTTTAGAAAGACTTATTAAAAGTTGTTAAAATTTGTTTTGAAATTAAATGTAGTGAAATAATTATAAAATAAAAAGAAAAACATCACAGAACTTTAGAGGGAATCTGCATTCAGATAATTTTATAAGGTCAGTAAGGTCTTGCCCTGTTCTAAGGACACAGGAACTCTGGAACTTGTAGACAAGGCAGGATGTGTAGGGCTTATGCAAGAGAGATGGTGTGCACTTCAAATCAGCAGATCCAGCAACACACACACACACACACACACACACACCCCAACCAAAAAACCTCTATCATAAGACTGATGACTAAAAACACATGTACATGTTTAAACTGAATACAGTCATTCTGGACTGGAATGGTTTTGGTACCTGCAATGCTCCATTTTTGCTGAAGGATGACACACACTGCATGAGTCTACTGAGCTCTTCAGACACCGCTTCCACTACCCTGGACAGGACCCTAGGCACCAATTCTTTGGAAATAGTGAACACCTGAAAGAAGGTTTAAAATAAGGAGAAATAGTGCATTATGGTGACTTATCCTGACTTGAATTTGCTAAAAACAAAGGAATGCACAAAAAATGTTGGGGAAAAACCACCATAAAAGTCATAAAATTAGCCTCTTTTTCATTTTTTTCCCAGTTACCCGTACTTCTTAGGAACAGCTAATAATAGCTTACCTCTGCATGCACTGCAATTATATTCACCAATGCTTCTTTTAAATAGTTTCTGACACCTGAAATCAAGATGGGGGAGGGAAAAGGCATTTAATAGAAACACAAGATGCCTGTCCCCCTGCTGGCATTGCTGTGCACAGTATAGTTTCCTAAGGAGAAACAGAAAGTAACACCACCTTTGCCTATTTCCTTTTGAGAACCAAATGGTGAAAGGTCTATTTTTGTACAGGCTTAAAAAAAGTTTAAATTACTTAAGAGTTTTCTTTCATTATTTTTCCATTCTGTCATTGTTTATGTTCTCTACAAATATTGGTCAGTCTCCTTCAAAATTGAAACTTTAAAATGTCCTTTCGTTTCTTCATATACATATTCTTCACATATATGCATACACACACTCAAATTAACAGACATGGTCAATAGTAGTATATTTACCAAAACTTATAAAATATCTGCTGAATGTCTTTTATAACATCATACTTCCAAAGATAAAAGTAAAATTATTATGCAGAATAACTATTTTGATCTTTAAAAAATTACTTGTGGGAGAAACTTCTGATTAAACCACACTCAATCTGATCCTATAAGGCAAGTTAAAAACTGGACAAAATACAAGATTTCAGATGACACAGAATTAGTGAATGCACTTCACTCCAAAGCAGGTATACACAAGACAATCATGTAAGAATCTAAAGTCAGATGATCTTGGATCAAACCCCCATTTCATAGGTTACATGCTATAATTTCTGCAAGAAGACTATGAGCCCAGTTTTCTCTTCTACAATGAATATAAAAACAGTGCCAATCTCATTGGTTTATAGTGAGGATTAAAGAAGATAATAATGCATGTGATGGATCCTGGTAGTCACAGGGTTCAAACACAGCTTTCATTATAATGAAAGCAGTTAAATTTGCAAGAAAAAAACCAAAAAACAAAAAAAACAACAACAAAATTTTGCTTTATTGTAATTCCAAAACAATAACTTTCACTGGAGTGGAATATTTCGGAATGCCTTCTAAATTAATTGCATGTTCTGAGAATTCCTTTTCTGCAGAACGGGGAAAACCCTACTATGTGCTAACCATAACAGTGTTAAGAAGAATCTTTTCCCAAATGTCATTCAAACTAATGCTTATTTAGAAAAGTTGAGACAAAGGCTAAGAACTATAATCAACTTTTTAAATTGATGTTTGCCGGTTCTAAATATATAACTAGTTTTTTATTTTTATTTCTGTCATATATGATGGTGTTTAAATAGGTATACAAAATTTATTTGGTGGAGCCAATTTCATATATATTTCTTTAGGATATGACAGTTCGGGTGTTAATAATTATATTTTGCTGATAAAAAAACATAACTAATTGAAAGTAATTAAATATAATCCAGAAATCAGTGATTATTGGGGGGGGGGGGGGGGAAGAAGATAATTGCAAGGTAACAAGTCTTATCTGGGAAATAGGAGAGGAGTATCAGGATCTATTATAAGTGAAAGTGAAATAAACTAACTGTTCTCAAGACCAGAAAAGCTTTCTTCCTGTAAAAGGAAAGCCACACCACAGAGACATTCCTTGGGCAGTTCACTGCTAGAGTCAGGGCACGAGTTTTAACCTGGCTGTGACATCTGTCCTGGGTGATCATGCTTACCAGGTCAATAAGCCTCATCTTGATTCCTGCTCTTGGGCAGTTCTCCCAATGTGATGGAGGGAGGCAAGGAAGGGCACTTCAGATCAAGTCTAGAATCTTACATTGCAAACCTATGGAAGTCTAGCTCATAAATACATACACATATAAATGTACATAGTGATTAAAAATATAAGTGAAATATTAGGCCAGTGATGATTTAAGCAACTTAAGAGCAAGGGATTCAACAGTTTTGTCCTCATGAAAACTAGGGTCCTGTCAATGCTACTATATGGAAAAATGTCAGGAGTCTGGATTCTAGCAATATTTTAACAATGATCACTAAAATAGGAGGACAGTTTTTAAGTTCTCAATTTTTGTGCGTGTGTGTGTGTAAAACAGAAGAGTGGGGCCAGAGTGCTGACTAAAAAGTAAAAATTTAACTTAAAATGAAGCAAGACAATGTCACATATTCAGCATGCTATAAACTAAACTCCTACTCTGACTCTGATAGGAAAAACATTTCCTGGCAAGAACCCATCAGACTAAGCATTACTAATAAAACACCCTGTAAAAGACATAAATCTAAATTACTCAATACTGTGAATAGTAGAAAAAAAGGACAGGATACTTTCAACCAGTAGAATCATATTTCTGTTGATAGGAAATCTGGGAAAAAAAAAAAAAACCCACAAAAAAAACAATAACAACCAAGCTTCCTGACCACATGCTTCATGAAGATAATGTATTGGAAGGAGCATGGAACCTTAACCTTGGCAAAGTAAAAAAAAAAAAAGAATTTCCTTAACACCTTCTTTTTGTGAACAGGAAAAAATGAAATAACTGTCCTCCTCCCCCAAATAACAACACAACAAACTGCTCCAGGTGTACAGGCGTAAGTGGTAATGTTGGAAGAAGGGAAAAATATATGGTCCATACAGCAAAAATGTATGATAAACAGAAAAGAGCTCCTAGTCAAGTCCCAGTAAGTCAGCAGGGTTCAGAAAAACAGTGTTACATTGACCACTTACAAAAGGGACACTAGATCAAGGCCCAGCTCAGTGAAACCCTATACAATAAAAGCAATATGCTAAGTGTCTTTTGTCCGTTCAACCAATCAAAGTGTAATATGCTAATGATATGCTAAGGCTGCTCAACCACTCGCTATGAGGTGCACTGACCACCAGGGGGCAGACAGTTAACTGAGTTGCTATGATGTACACTGACCATTAAGGGTTAGATGCTCTGACTGGAAGGTTAGCTTGCTGCTGGGGTCCAGCCAATCAGGACTGAGTGAAATGAGTTGGACACCTCCTTGAGCCGCCTGAGGTCACTCGCCAGCTGGCCAACCTCCTGCGTCCCTCCCTGGCCCCGACTTGCACTGGTGGGGGCCCTTGGCCTGGCTTGCCTCCTCTTGCAATCCGGGACCCCTTCAGGAAATGTCAGAGAGCCAGTTTTGGACCGATCCTGCTCAATGCAGGAGCTGGCCCCTGGTGGTCAGTGTGCTCCCACAGGAAGAGTGCTGCTTGGTCAGAAGCTGGGCTCATGGCTGGCGAGTGCAGCTGCAGCAGTCATTCCCCGAGGGCTCCCGGACTGTGAGAAGGTGCAGGCCTGGCTGAGATCTCCCTGCCCCTCAGTGCATGAAACTCATGCACCAGACCTCTAGTAGTATTATATCCAAAGTGATGCGCATGCTGACATTTTAGCAATAAAAATGTTAAAATATATAAACAAATCATTGATTGCCTCTCTCCAAAGCTATCTTTGACACAGAGATACTGTCCACATTATCCCATGGTGGACACTGCTAGGCAAACCTCACAGGTAGTAAGACATTAGGTCTTTCCGGTAGAGTATGTAAGTACCCATTATGAGTAGGACCCCAAAGTGCTTAGTTATTTTTCCCTTAATTTACTGGTGTTCATATATGTATCTACTTGTATGTAGAAAGTAGCACTAAATAGCTATCTGAAAGTTTTTTTTTAAATCCTTGTATTCCATTTTAAGTGAATGTGTGAAGCATTTATGTGCCATTTCTATTTTGTGAAGTTCTTAAAAGGTTAAAGAATAGCATTTGGGGAAAAGTGGTGAAGTCAAGGCAAAAGACCTAAAAACTAAACAGCGTCCATGTCTAGGGATTGAGCTATGAAGGTTTATAAACAAGAAACAGATAAGATCTTTGTGGTCTTCCTAGTTAAGAATTTCAATTCCTTTCTCACTTCACTCCATTCTATAGCCATTACCTAATGAGAAACAAAGGTGGTATCATACCATGATCACTCGCCTTAATTCCCCAGTCTCTACCTTGTACTCACAGACTTGAAGATGGATTTCTAACAAACCAAATGCAGATTAATCCCTCAGCTTTGTCTGTTGAGATTTGTTTGAAAATGTTGCTCCAAATTCAACTGTAGAAGGACTGTCAGCTCTTTCAAAAATCTGCCCCCAAGAAAGCCCGTACCAGTGGCAGGCACCAGAGATGCCTCACTTGTTCCATGTGATACTGACGTCAAAGAACACTACGAAACCTCAGCTGGCAGCAGGTGCCAATCTTCATGTCAGGAGCCTGAGTGGCCAGTTTTCTCTTGTCTGATTGGGAAAAAAATGTATGGAAACCATACCAAAAAAATGACAATGCAAACCTCAGAGTTGGAAGAGAACAGATCTGTGTTTGGGGAAATGTAAAGTTGGGTCTTCCTTGTGACTTCACTGACAGCTAACTGGGCAACATTCAGCAATCTCTTTCTTGAATGGAAGGGGTCACATTTGGAAAGTGAGAAAGGCAGTAAGAATGCCAAGAAAGATCTGGGAGTTATCAGAGTGCAGGAGGCCCTGAGGTAGATGTTAAAAGGAAGTGAAGAAGGAGTTTAAAGAGACCATGGTCTTGGCACTTGGGGCGAGGATCAGGATTGTGAAAATGGTGCAGGATTGTGACAAAGGGGCCATTTTGTAGTTAACTTGGGTGGTATGTGTTCCTTCTCTTCCCACTATACTTCATTCTAATCTCATATTATTAACATTAAAGGCTGATGGTGACTTTTAAGTGTACTGAGGTAATAGAAAAAACATTCAATGTAAAGTCAGAAGACTTGGGACCCACGTTCTGGCTTACCTCTATACTACTACTAAGACAACAACCAGTTCAGTTTTTAGACTCAGTTTTTAGACAATTGCCTACTGTGCAAAAAGTAGAGATTACAACATCTGTTCTGCTAACAAAGCTGTTATAAAAATGTAACATATGTTTATTCCTTGATTCCACAAATATCTGTTGTTTATATACTATATGCCAGGCATGGCCAGGTGGTCATATACATATATTTTAGATGCTATTATTTTGACAAAGACATAGTTAGGTAAAAGACACAATGTCTGAAAAAATATGCTAATTTGTCTTTCTGAAACACCTGGTGTAGAAGTCTGGCCACTCTAACCCATCA